CCAAAATCTCTGTAAATGTTTATGAAAATTAATAAAATATAATTATAGAAAAAAAAAAGAAAAAAAAATAAAATAAAATAAACAAAACTGCCAGTGAGTACAGTGGACCTAAAAAAAAAATCATCTATTGAGACCAAGGGGTCAATAAATACATAAAGATCAAAGAATAAGGGAACAAGGAAACCAGATATGAAACATCCTGAAGACAATTAATGAGAATGTTAAAACACTGTGGAAAATATAATTAATGTTTCTGCACTCTTTTATGGAAAACATAGTAAAATTTAAAAATAAAAACCATTCATAGCTCATGGGCTCTACATCAACAGGCAGGCCATATTATATTTGGCTCCTGGGCCATAGTTTACCAACCTCTGTTCTAAGGTAGTGTTACACACACACGTATCTGACGGACTTTTTTTTTTACAAAAAGGAAAATTAACCAACAAGAGAAAAACTGAAGCCATTTGTATTTTAAAATTACTTCACAGCCACTATCCACATACTGACAGCTGCATGTCAATCAGGCTGCTGCTGAACTTCCTTTTACGCTCTCTCCTGAGTAAGAAATGACTTCTCTCTTCCCATCCCACAGCCTTACCTATACACAACCACAGGAATCCGCTTCCAGGAGCGGAAGGAAGCCACGTTCTCTAGCTCTTTATCTGTGATCCAAACAGGAACCAGCAGCTTCTGAGGGTAACTGGGACATAATCTGAGAAGAGATCAGACGGGGTTGCTGAGCTGGGGCTAAGATACCTGATGACAAAAACCCCATGGGATGGTTTCTGAGGAAGGACAGGGAGCCCTCCTCCCTCACAGCCCCAGGAGCAAGGTTCACAAAGCTTTATCCACATGTGGAGGTTTGGGTTGGGTCTATTTGGTCACCCATCCCTTGCCCTCTCACTTGTAGTTGCTATTGATGTGTGAGACCCTCCAGACATTCTGCAGGTCAAAGCCCATCCTCACAAGCTCTGCCTCCTGCCGACATCGTATGTGCTCTCCTGCAACACAACCCCATCCGTGCAGGTCAGCTCCCAAGACAGCCAAGTCAGAGGCAGAAGAGAAATGAGAATTAAGGGACAATTTTCTCAAAGAAAGTAACTTGGCCTCACCTGGCTGACACAGGTGGGTGTGCTGGTCCTCCTCAGTCAGCCCCAGGCACCAGGCGTGGTAGGCAAAGGCAAAGAGGTCCTCAGGCTTGGCAGGTCTTGCTGTGGCTCGGCTGAGCCGTGACAGCCACTCTTGGCACTGCTTGAAAGTGGAGAAGTGGCACCTGCCGGGCAAGAAGCCACAGGCCTGGGTGAGGCAAGATATGAGTGTGCTCAGGGGCATAAGGGTCAGAAACATAGTACAGGATGACCAGGAAGAGAGGAGGTTGCAAAGTAGAGAGGCAAGGCATGGGCTCCTAGAAGAGTGGCCACATTTAAGAAGAGTTATCCCATATGACTCTTTTCCAGCTATTCCTGTTTTTTTTTTCTTTTTTTTGGGGTGTGTGTGTGTGTGTGTACAGTCAAATCAGATCTGCCTTGTATAGGAGGAGATTGCCCCTCCTTCTCCAGGAGAGCATCTGGTGGATTCAAACTGCGTATCTCTTGGGGTTGCAGTGCAGCTTCTTGCCACTAGGCTACCAGAGCTCCTTGCTATTCCTATTTTAAAGACATACCTATCCCTTCTACTGGAGCACTATCATTTGTTCCAGCACATCTACTACATGGCTCTCAACATCTGAATCCCTTAGACCTACCCCTTCTTGTCTGTACTCCAAAAGATCAGGGTTACCTCCTCTCATGTCTCCCCAACACAATCTCTGCTTTAGCCTGGAAGTTCCTACACTTATCACCTGTCTTTGATTGGTATATACTCTCTGCCTAGCCAAAGCCTACTAGTACTTCAAAGAAAGTTCCAGTCCCAGAGCCTTCTCAGCCTCCATTCCACAAGTTCCTTTGTTGCTTGATCTTTAATATGCCTACAGTACTCAACGGTAAGTTTTTCCATCAGATATTGCTCAACCCATCAGATATTGCTCACAAGCAGTATCTTCTTTTTTTTTTTTATTCTTTAAACACTGTAGCTTTATTACTATAACCTGTGAGCAGTATCTTCTTTTAGCAATTAAAACTTTAACCTCCCTGTAGCTTTTTCTTCTTACTTTGAGCTATGATACAGCAGTAAAAAATGATCTGAAAAAAAAAACCAAACAAACAAATAAAAATTTTAACCTCCTTGAGAGAGAAGATAATGTAGATTCTACCTCAGAATCCCTCCCTCAAATCTACTATTCCAAGCACACTCATCAAACCCACCACCATATCTAGATGCTTCTGGCTGACAGCAACTCTAAAAGATACAGTAGACTTAGTTTGCTTGGCTCTCAAGGCATACTACCACATCTTTCTCTTGTGGAGCAGCTGGTAGGTTCAAACCATTAACTTTCTGGTTAGAAGCCCAATGCTTTACCACTATACCACCAGGGTTCCTTGTTGAGCACACAGCACTAAAAGAGGTACCCTTTCAGAACTCCTTAGTCATTTCAGGTATCTCTTTCTCTCACATTCAATTTGTCAGGATTATCTTCAAAATATACATTCAGAATGTGACCACTTTCATCATTTCAACTATTTTGGGCAACACTATCATGATCTTGTAACTGAGTAATTACAACAGCTTCTTAACTATTCTCCCAGTTTCTGCCTTTACTTTTGCCCCTGTCCCCTTTGGTCTATTCTCAAGAAAGCAACCAGAGTGGTTCTATGAGGACATTAATCAGATCCAAACTTTCCAAAAGCTCCCCCTTTCCCTCAAAGACTGAATGAGTGATTAGAATATAGTGCAGGAAACTAGTCTAACATTCCCTCATCTCTTGGATCTCATATCCTACAATCTTCACCCACATGCACTCTACTACAGCCACCTTAGCCCCCTTGCCATCTTTCCAAGATGCCAGGCACAGGCACTCACCCTCACAGTCTCTGCACTTGCTCTTCTATCTTCTCCACCAGACCCACATGGTCATTTTATTCAACTCTTAGCTCACATGTCACCTTTTCAGCAAGGTATTCTCCGATGACTGTGTTAAAAGTTACAACCCTCTTCCTTGTTTTCTACTGTTTATTACCTTTCACTTACAATAATTTAACCTATTTTATTATTTACTGTTGGTAGCTTCCCACTTAAATATACACCCCATGAAATGAAACTGGTTTTTGTCTTATTTGTTCCATATTGTATCCCCTTGCTTAGAAAAGTGTCTGGCATTAGAGTGTTTGGTATTAACCAGGTACTCCTGAAGTATAAGCTAAATGAATAAACAAAGTAACAATAATTTGAGAATTCTCTTCTAGATCTATCATAGGTGCTAAATATACACTTTGTCTCATTTAATCTTTATGATGCTGGTATGTTGTTGTATGTCCCTCTGAGTCTGAACTAACTCATAGCTGATCCTCGGCAGATTTTCAAAGCCAGTAAATCACCCAGGAATTGAATGCTCATCTTTCTCCTGCAGTGATCATATGAACTAGGTATTATCCCAATTTTTTCAGGCAAAGACACAGGAGCATCTTAACTTGTGCTCTCAACCCACAACAGGGCTTTCACTCATTCCTCCAAAAGCGGATACTGAAGCACTTATTTTGTTTTCATTTTTGGTCCAGAGAAACACTAACAGTAGAGAAGTAAGGAGAGGAGTAGGGCAAAGAGAACCTGAGAGAGACCCTGCTCACCTCACCACTTTGGAGTCCTTGCAGGCAATGTGTAACTGGAACATATCACGGCTCTCCACGCTGTCAATCATCCGGAGGGGAACCTTTAAAGGAAGGGCAAACTGAAGCTCAGGTCTGAGCTCTCCACCTCACTCATCCCCACCCCTGCCCAGGGGTTGGTACGTCAACAGCAGGAAGGAGAGAGATTTACTGAGGGATTGTTAAGTAATTGGTAACTGTGCTATGACCTCAATTAATAATCACAATAATCCTTCAAAGGGAATATTCTCATCCTCCTATTATAGGGAGGAAACTGAATCTCAAATAACTTGACTAAGGTCACATTATCTGATAAAAGACAGTGCAGGAAAAGAGCCTGGGTTTGCCTGACTCCAAAACCTATGCTACTCTTCTAACAAGACAGTTGTACCCTTCACCAGTGAAAAAAGGAAAGGAAGAAAGGGAAAAAAGGGTGAGAGAATGAGCAAAAGAGACAGAAGTATGGTTAGGAGAATGAGCTAGGAGGTCTGTGAGGAAAAGGAGGAAGGCTAACTTTTTTGTGACATGATCAGACAGCACCTTGCAGCACTCTCACCTTGAACCTCACTGGAATTCTGACTTCTGTGTGGGGAAACAATAGAAACTCACGTTGATGACAGAGTCCTTGAACTTGATGTGCAGCCGGTAGTTGGAGATGGCAATGAGGGCATCAGCGGCTCGGCCTAAGAACTCTACTCCCTCACCCTGCAGCACTGTGAAGGGCACCTGCCAATGAGCAGAGGAATCCTCAGTCCAGAGGTGAGTCACACACCCCACACCAGCCACTGCTCTGGGAGATCCCCCCTGGAGAAGCTGGGCCAGGGCAGGCAAGTCCTCTCTACGGTAACGGCACCAGGCAACAGCTACACAGGAAGGCTGCCTCTCCTTCCCTGGGGGCAAATGCTTCGTAATGTACATACAGACAGAATTCCCTTCCTCCAGAGACAAGCAACAGGAAGCCAGAACTGGCAAGAAAGCCCCTGATTCACTCAACTTGGTCCCCCAATTTCTGCTTACCTGCAGATTTTCTTCCTCCTTCACTAGTTCCTTTGGGGGGAATAGATCCTTGGCTTGGATGTACTCCAGGCTGGGGGGCCCCTCCTCACCCTGTGAAAAAGGACACAGCCCAAAGTCATCAGGCTCTATTTGGCTCATCAGGCCTCATTCTCCTCCACTCCCCATCCAATCTACCCTTACCCACATACACAGAGAGAAAGCACACTACAGATTCTGCACCAGAAGAGGGGGAAAGTGGCCTAACTTGGCTGGGGAAGAGGGTGGAGTTGGGGGATAGTCAAAGGTGTTAAGCCTAAAGGAAGAATGAGGTCTCCAGAGGAACTCAGAATCTTTATTTCTCATAAAGGGACTCTCCTAGAGAATCAAAATGTCCAAAATAGGGAGACAAGAGTAAAGCAAGGAGAAAATAATACCAGGGAATGAGAAAGTGTTACCCTGAGGTAAAAAGAGCCAGGGGTGACAGATGGTTATGAAGACAGGAGGACTATCAGGCAACTAAAGCGATGAAGGCTTCCTTCAATCTGGTGGGTGAAGGAGACAAAGAGGAGTGGTGGAGGGGATTCAGTCCTGTGCCTCTAGAGGGCCTTGATGGATGCTTTTAAAGGTGTTTCAGAAAGAGGGTATGTCCTAGGGTTGAATGCATCTTCCTGATAAGCCCACATTGCTAATAAGCCCCCACCACCTGCCGGACAACCTGCTCTGCCAGCTGATCAAAAGGGAATTCCTCAGGAATACCACAGCCAGCAGAAGTCACTCCCCTTACAACCTACCAGCAAAAGGGAGAAGAGGATCCACACCTGAGAGGATCCAGGAGACCCAAGGACAGCCAGGAGGGAGGCCTGGCAGGCAGACATTGTGTGTGTGTTGGGGGGTGGGGGGTGGGGAGAGTAACATCAAGGAGGACAGATGGAGAAGCTGGGAAGGAGTATTAGCCAGAGAGGGAGGAGGGGAGGCCCAGGAATGATGCAGAGACATGGAGCCCTGCAGAGACAGGGAAGATGGAGAAAAGAAGCTGTCTTGGGGACAGTCAAGGAGAAAAGAAAGGCGAGTCAGGTGAGGGATGGAGTGATGGAAGGGGGAGGGGAATGGAGCCGGAGGAGACAGCTCTCAGACAACCAAAGCTTCCCGACCAAACCCCTAAGATTCCAAACAACACGCTAGCCAGAGCCCACACCTCTAAGCAAGGATGCGGCGGGTGGGACCAAGATGGAGAGGAGGAGGTAAAGGGATGTATGTACCCCCGCAGGGCGGGGCCTGAAAAGCTGCAGTCAAGGGCAGTGGCTGCGGGCTGAGATAGCCACAGAATTTCCATCCCTGGGTTTCCATGATTCCTAGCACCCAAAGATGACAATAAGTGAAAGAAATAAAAGGGTTAATCTCCCCTGTCCCCAAACGTAGGGGGCCGGGCTAAGAGCCTTGATAAGGGGGATGGGCTGGAATTTGGAATCTCAAAGGCTGGTCCTGGGAGGAGCTGAGGGTGCAGCAAGCGGGCTGGGACCGACGGCCCTCACAGGCGGGGCCGGCACTTACGAAACAGCTGAGCATAGAGCAGGAGACACGGGCGGTCAGGCTCATGGTCGCGGGCGGTCTGGGCCAGCGTACATGTCCCCAGAGCCGCTGCGCTGCCCTCCAGTCCGGGGCGCCCGCCGCATCCCTGCTGCGGGGCCGGCCGGGTGCAACCGCGGTGGCCAGGAGGCGAGCGCGCTGGCAGCGGGGCCTCGGCGCGGCTCCCGCGCACCGCTCCCCTCCTCTCCACAATGGAGCGGGCCCAGCTCCGCCCTCAGCAGGAGCGCAGGGTAGAGGAGGGAGGTGCCCGGGACAGCCTGCGGAGGGCGGGGGCAGGGGCGGGGCGCCCGGAGTGGTCCCCGCCCACACGCCCAAGCTCCACCCTCCCCAAAGTCCCCAGGCTGCGTAGGAGGGCGTGCCTTCGGGACAACTAGGGGCTTTCAGGAGCCAAGGCTATGGGCCTGGCCACAGACTTTGGAGGTCAGTGAGTATGCTGCCCAGGCCTTTTCATTTCCCCTTTCCCAGGTGAGCCACCTTCCTCTTCGCTTGAGTTCTCACAATGCCTGCTCTGTAGGCGCGGGCTTACCTCTCCCCCTCACACTTTTCCAGTCTCAAGACTTCCTCTCTTCCCTCCAAAACCACCACCCATCACACTCCTGTTCACCTGCGTTCTGCAAGGCCCTAATCTTTCTCAATCCCCCACCCTACACCACCTCTCTTTCTTAGAATGAGGTTATCACCTCTCACTAAGGCCTCTCAGTTTTTCATTTCTATGCCTCTGCCCAACCCTACTCCTTCAGGGCTCACCCTTCTTTCAAATCCAATGTCCTCTGGGTAAGGAAGTCCTCGATAAAGAAATAATTTCAAAGACTGAGAAAAACAAGAGCTGGAACAATGGGCCACAAAATCAAAATGTGAATCCCAGGGAAGGGAATAGGGGAATGGAGCAGAGGCCAGAGAATAAGGAGCAAGAATTTGTGAATAGGGGGTTCAGAACTGCGAGGGTACAAGGGTAGAGGAGGAGGTGGCCGGTACTTCTATTCCCTTGCCTAGGAACTTTCAGAAAGCCAGACTTTTATCCTCTTTTTACTTTTCTGGAGGCAGGGAGGGAATAATGTGAAAAATCCAACACTTTATTAAGCATCAGTAGATGTCATGTAATTTTCAAACACTGCCTCACTAAAATCTTTCAGTCCTCAAGAAGGAACAACTGAGAGTGGTTTTACTTGTCAGACATTTCAAAAATTTAAAATGCGGGCAATTCGCAGTGTTAACACAGAAGAGATAAAGGAGAGGAAGTGTCAGCAGGTTGGGGACAGGACTAGTAGATTTAAGAAGAAATGAGACCAATACTGCACACCTACACACCCACGTATTTATAAGAGTTAGGGGAGGGAGAAAGGAGGAAGTCTTTGCACCAGGTAAATTCCATAGTCTTCCCCTAAGCACAAGAGATACCTGACTGATACTGAAGAGTTACAGCCAGACAGCAAAGCCTGGTCTGGGCTAGGGTGTGTAACTCTCCAGTGCCTTCATTTCACTGCTTCCTCCTCTCAGAGGTTAAGGAATTCCCTGAACTTAAGCTGATGGGTAAGACTCAGTAAGCAGTTAATGAAAATGGGAAGCAGTTAATGAAAATGGGAAACAGAGTATCAAAACCGTATCAATATGAAACTCTGGACACCTTTGTAGGAGGATCCTGCTAAATATCCAGTCAGCTGTGACCTACACAGGGGCTTTACCCAGCACTTCGGAGCTGGGTAGTCCCCAAAGTTTTAGTTATTCCCTAAAAACACCACCAACAGGATTCAAGGGGCCCACCAGAAAGTACAAGGATCTTGTTCTAGCTTTCAAACGAGAAGCCAGAAATTCCACCAGAGACACACGAAAAGAAAGAGGAAGGAGAGGATGAGAAAATCAGCAATGTATAGGTAAGATGGGGAAGGTGTGGCACAGGGGATGCAGAAAAATCTTCTAGAAGTTTCCTACCTAATGCAGTATACTAGCTGATGTTTTGCAATTTAAAGGCATACTTTATAGGGTTGACAAACCTGTTTAGGAACTGAACAGAATAGCATGGAGTTCAACGTCCAGGAGGAAGGAGAGAGGGTCACCAAACAAAGGACACAAGAATTACAGGAAGCGAAAAGGGTTGAGGAAAGAGAGACTACTCACCATTCTACCGTGGTGAGGGTTCTGGCTGCCTGCTTCCCACTGCAAAAAGACAGAGCATTATAAGAATAAAGTGCACCGTTACCATCACCATGGAACCTGCAAATGCCATGCATCTAATTCTGAACCTCTTTCCAACTCTAGCTTCTCCACAAGGTACTATGCTAGTCAGAAGCAAAATATAAGGAAAGAGAGCAACATGTGATCCTGCAGGGCATGAAGTCAGCTACCAAGTTTTGGAGCAAGAGTAAGTGTTAGCCTAGATCATTCAGCAGAACTTAAGTGCTGATTTCCACAGGAGTGAGGCAAGTAAAACACTCCAAAGCCTGTTCTTTATGGAAGAGCAAAATGCGTGCCAAGTCTGAAGAGGCAGTGGCTGTCCAACCAGCACTCACTTCTGGCCCTGCTTGGGGCATGAGTCGACAGGAACGCTCTGCCAGTCTCTCTCTCAGTCTGGGAGTAGCATCACCTGACCTGTTTATGCAGGGCAGAGTCCAGAGTAGAGGACAAGAGGGAAGGAACCACACAACCTGCTTTCAAAAGGCAAGAACTGAACAGGTCTTGTTGAGTGCACCTAACATCAAGTGCGGTGGAGATTATAAGGAGGCCACATATTTAACTATTAGGAACAGTTTTGGCCTCAGTCAGCATCTGTCAAATGGGATAACAGGGATTTCTGGCTACTAGGCCCACTTTGGGATTCAGGCCCAAGTGTCACTAAACTTTCCTTCATGGTTACTATCTGGGCTCAGGTGCAATGCAGCAGAGCGCTGTAAAAGACTGTAAGGATAAACGAATCCTCCGTTTGTAGCCTTATCCTCCTCCCTAATCATAGAACCTTCTCCCCCAGCCCACCCTCCCTCTCAAGCGGCAAGCCAGAGGTGCAATCTCACCGCCTGGTGACACGCAGCCTCAGAGAGAAGAATGGAAGGAAGGAGGACCAGGCCCGGGAGAACCACGGTTCCCATACCTAAGAGATCTAGCCCTGGGGGGGCGGGTCAGACTGGCAAGGGAGCCCAGGTGCCTAGGTTCTAGGGGCGGAGCCTGAAAACTCAGAGGCGGAGCCCCGAATGACAGAGGGCGGGACTCAGGAAAGCAAGTGGGGGCCGGAGTGGGGCCGGGATAGACACAGTCGTTGCGGTTTCCAGGCTGGCAGTGTAGGGGGTACAGTGACTCACCCAGGCGGTGTCCGCCCGACCCTCGGAGGCCGCGCTCTCACCACTTCCGTCTCCCGCAGCTGCCGAGGCCGCGCAGCGCCGACCCCACCACGGTGCCCCTTTCCCCAACCAATCGTATTTCTGGTCTGTGCGCGCCCTGGCCAATAGCCACGCCAAGTCCCACCCCCCTCTTAATGCGCAGCCGCAACCATCAGGTTTCACGTCGCTCATTGGCAAAGTTGGCAAACGCCCTCCCAGCCTTTAGCTTATCCCGTGCCAGACGACGAGACACTACCTGGGAGGAGGAGATGCAGCGCTGGAGGAGACGCGGCCAATGGGAAATCACAGCGCGTCCCTGCGGTAGCCAATGGAAAAGCAGCATAAGGGGCTGCCAGCAAAGGTCCCTGGGGCCGGAAGTGGAGAGGCCTGTCGCCTACTGGTAACGCAGCTAGAGGCGTGGCCTTGTGCAGGCGCAGGCATTTCAAAGCCACATCCGGTGACGACATGCCATAGAGTTACTTCTCAAATGGATCTTTAGTGGCATGTCAGCCATTCTTGATTTCCATCCGTTCTTGATTTGGTTTAATAATCCGGGCCCCAAAGTTAAAACAGGGAAAACCTTTCCGGTTAGAAGAGGGAGAAGTTCTAGCTCAATCTTCCGAAGCTGCACGCGTTAAGATTTCCGTTCTCCTGCGTCTAGATTGATGTATCCAACCTCCAATTGTTTAACGGTTAACCGACCTCGGCAGCCTTAATCTCCATGGTGCCACCAATCCTGAGTAAAAAATGCACCGCCCAAGAGGAAATCTGGCCTGAAACGTGCTAGTTAGCTGCGGTCCCTCGGAAGTAAGAAGACTTCAACAGACCCCGTTTGCTCCGCGGCAGCTCGAGAGTAGAGCAGAAGGTGGCCGCTGGAGGTCGCCATGGCCTCACAATAACCCCAACAAGGCAGAAATGGAGAAATCGGCTCCGATTTCTAATGGAGCTTTACATCCTGAAATGCGTATAGTCTCAGCTCTGAAGGACTCTTATACAAGACTCCGAGACTATCGTGTGCTAATGCGTTTATGTTGTTAGGTGCCGTCCAGTACTACTCAGTGGTCCCGTCTATGAACCACAGATCTGAACCCTGACCTATCCTGTGCCATCTTTGAAATCTCCGAAACACTCGATCCCATTGCTGTAGTCACGGTGTCAGTCCATTTAGTTTGAGAGTCTTCCTCATTCATTATCCTTCCATCTTTCCGAGCATGATGTCCCTCTCCAAGGAATAGCCTCTCCCAGCAACGAGTACCAAGTATGCGAGAGGAAGCTTTATATTGTTAGATATCAAGAACCAACTTTGAACAACGGATCTGAACCTTGCTCTAGCTCCATCCTCAGGATCTTGGATCCTCAAACCCACCGTTAGTCACAGCGTCTGGAGCATATCAGAGATTATGTATTTATTTGCAGACTTAAAATATTAAGTTCCTCGAAAACAGGAACCTTACCCAGGGCCTGTTTGAAACTCCAGGGCACAGAAAATGTCCGCAAACAAGCAGATGTTTAATAAATATGTGTTAAATATTAAACTACCATGGGGCAATGGTTAATTTACTCATTCCTAGCACCTATTATAATTGGCAAATACAGGGGCTTCAAGGTTCTATGTGCTGAAACTAGAAGCTGAGAGGCTGCATGCAGTTAATAACCCTGAGTTTCCCAAAGGCAAGCATCAGCTCCCAAATAAAGAGGCTGCTACAGAACTTCAAGCGCTGTATGTGTAAGGAGTTACATGTGAATTTTCCAGTGGCTCTTTGGAAAGAGATGGGAAGTCTCCTTTCATGTGATTTGTAGCCTGGGAAGACCTACTACAGTAGGGTCAGCTATGAGTTGGTTCTAACTCGGTGGCAAAGAGTTTTGTTTTCTTTTATATACTAAGGTGCTAATAGTGTGAAGTCTTTCTGGCAAGAAAATACAATTTTTGTTTTAGTTTGTTGGATTTTCTGACTTCTTGTAATGTGCAGGTACTGCTTCTATGAAAGGTTTATATAGCCTAACCCATTTCTTTGCATTAAAAATATGAGCAGTTTCCTCCCATGAAAAACTCCCTGGAAAGTCAGCTATAAGTAGGTTCTGATACAACAGCAATGAGTGAGCGAGTGATTATGTGGAAAATATGGAGAAAGGCTCAGGCTAGAAAATTATTGTTTTGGTCCCCACAAGGTAATAAAGACATGGAGAGGGACACCAGAAGCCATCGACAGATTTGTTAAATTTTATTTCCTCTGAGTCTCTGGGGAGGCGACAGGGATGTAAGGCGATGTGGCGGTAGCTGCAGGGGCCTGAGCAGAGCTGGTGCTGGGAAGGTCCGGCATAGGCAGGAGGAAGAGGAAGAGATTTAAATATCCAGGGCTGAAAGCCAGCTAATGAGTTTCCTTCATCTGCCTTTGGATTTTGTGTAGCATCTCCTGCATCCGCCGTAGCTGGAATAGGCACACATATCAAGGTGAGGCCTTTCATGGAGCCCCATAATATCGTGATATGCCCTTGAGTGCTAATTCTGAGTCATGGCCTTAGCAACCCTGAGGTGTTATAGAGACTAAGAGCAGAACCATCCACCAGCCATGCCCAAAATAGACACCAGGCTTGAGGATCGTCCCCAAACCAGGCAATGCTGAGTTTTCTGATCAAGCAGAGGCTCTCTTAGACTGTCAGTCCTATCACCTCAGCCTGTTCTCACCTCCTCATCTTTCTCTCGTATCAGCTTCTCAGTTTCTGGATCTGTCCCTAGTGGGCCAGCAGGGATGGGGAAGTCGGTACCACTCTCTCGAGTCAGTTTGCTGAGGGGAAGGGGAAAGCAGGTTGGTAAGGCTAGGGGACCACAGCACCTGCTTGCATTGAACTCAGGGCCTGTAGAAGAACAAGGGAAGGGCTTGGTCTCAATAACTGCACTTGGGATTTCCTCCCCCCCTGCCAGCTCTGTCCTGGCTTCTGGCCATACTTGCGATTGCGTTCCTTCACCACCATCCGGGTCATGCTCTGGATGCACTGTGCCCGGTAGTTCTCATAGTGTGTCTCTCGCGTCACATCCTTCAGGTCCTGCATGTGGGTACGCACCAGCATTGTCCTCAGCTTCACAAAGTCGCAGTGCCCTGGGTTTTCCACTGCATAGCAAGGCTAGGGGTCAGCCAGGTTAGGGGAGAGCCCCTGAGTGAAAGGAGAGCCCCAGTGACAAGCTAAGCACTTTACCTTCCACGATGCCCCAGGGGTAGAGGCGGCCCCGAACTCGCCGCCCTCTGGCCTCTACCACTGTATTGCTGCCGATTACAGCAAATGGGATGCTTTCCTAGAAGAGGTTAGGGATGCCTGTCAGCATTCCCATTCTCCCCTATTCCTGCCCTCTTGTTCTTGTCTTAAGAAGCCAAGGTCCTCTCCTAGCCCAGTAATCTGCCCTTATACAGAATTCTATGATTCTCTCCTAACAGAAAAAAATAAGGTGGGAAAGGGGTGCCCTCTGGTGGCCCCACCTTTAGGGCTTGGTCCTGTAATTTGAAGTCCTCATCTTCATCAGAGTCACAGTCTGGGAACTGGTAGATCTTGATTCCAAAGTGCTCGATCTCCTCCCGGATCTAACAAACACATGAGGCGCCCACAGTTCTGGGGACCCCATCATTTCTAGAAGCCCACCTTCTTCCCGCCCCCACCGGTTTCCCTCACTTTGCGCTTCTTGTACTCCACTTCAGGAGGTGTCAATGTGTCCGCCTTAGCCAAGACAGGCACGATGTTGACCCGCTGATGCAAGGCCTTCATGAATTCAACATCCAACGGCCGGAGCCTGGGGAACAGGAATCTGTGACCACCTGCTGGTGGTAGCCCTGCCCGTGGTGCTCTTAGCCTGTTCCCTTGGCAGCACCCGGTGGTGCCAGGAGCCTCAGGCTCAGACCATACCCGTGGCCGAAGGGTGAGATGAAGTACAGGCAGCAGTGCACCCTGTTGTCTTGGATGTTCTTGCGGTTCAGTCCACTCTCATCTCGGAAATACTGCTCAAACTGCTGGTCGATGTATTCTGCCACAGGCTTCCAGCTGAGGCATGGACAGACAAGCAGAGAAAGTGAGGAGTCGAGCTCTGAGGCTGCAGAGAAGTAGCCCACACCCTGAGTGGTGCTTCCAAGACCTTGTTACATCCTGGCTCACTAAAGACTAAGGGACTGGGGGGAGGGATTGTATAACAATGAGAGAAGTTTTCTTTCACTTTTCAAAGAGAAGAGCGAACTGCAGAGGAGGTTGGGCAGAGAGAAAAAGTACAACAATGAATGAATGGAAATCCAAAGTCTCTGTAAACTTTCAATAAAATCAATAAGAAGAAGAAAAAAAAATCTTTTAGAGAGATACATGGGTGCATCTGACATACCCTGATAGAAAAGTAGACTAAGCACACAGTGACATATATCTATCAATATATTAATGGGGGGGCATGCACATATATATCAAATTCAAAACTCATTGCCGTTAAGTTGGAACCAACCTTTAGCTGACCATGCAGTGTGTTTTTAGAGGCTGTAACTCACATGAGAGGAAACTGCCTACCTTTCTTCCTTGGAGTCACTGGTAGATTTGAACTGTCAGGCATGGCCTTTGCATTAACAGTGCAATTTTCTACGGACTATACCATAGAGCTCCCTGTGTGTGTATGTAGGTTCAGATCTGATGCTCATAGGGTTGCTATGAGTCATACTTGACAGCAACTAACAACAAATAAGTATGTATGTAATGAGATAGGTTGACACAGTGATCGTAACAATGGGCTTGAGTATGGCAGAGACCAAGAGGAAGGTGCAGGGCAGAGAAAGTTTCCAACTGGTTGATCCTAGGGTCACTTGATGGCACCTTACAACAACAACAATGTGTGTGTGTGTGTGTGTGTGTGTGTGTGTGTTTAAGAGCACTGTTGTGGTACAGGCTTCAGGGAGTTACACTGCTAATCTAAAGGCACTGACCATTCTAATCCCCCATCAACTCCAAGGGAGAAAAATGGGAAAACCCACTAGAAAGTGAGCCTTGAGTCAGTTTCAACTCAACAGTAATGAGAGAATGAGATACATGGAGAGAAAAATGTCTACAGATCAATATCTATATCTCTCTATATAAAGATATAAATAAGGATATACATATCTACATAGATATGTATCTCTCAACTTACTGCCTCATTGAGTTGGTACCAACCCAATGAATAAATGAGCTATGTATAGATAGATCTTTAGATAGAGGTACAGAAAAAGTTACAGGTAGATATGTTGTTATTGTTGTGTGCCACTGTGTCAGATTCAACTCATGGCTGACCCCCCAGCAGGTTTTCAGAGGTTTCAATTGCATGGGAGGAGATTCCCAACCTTTCTCCCTTGGAACAGCTGGTAGATTCAAATTAAGTGTATTTAGAATTTGCAGCCAAACCTCTGACCACTAGGAACTTCTTACCACCAGGCTTCCAGGGTTTGTGTGTGTGTGTGTGTGTGTGTGTGTGTGTGTGTGTGTGTACATATATAAATTCATTGCTGTCAATATATAGCTGACCCTTCAGTGGGTTTTCAAAGACTGTAAGTTGCATGGAAGGAGAATACCCATTTGCCTTTGGGTTGGCAGTGCAACTGCCTACACACTAAGGCCACCACATACAGCAAGTTCAATTCTGTGAGAAGCCTTTTGGTTTGGGATCTGATGCAGCTGGTGGGTTTGAACTGTCCACCATTGAGCTGGCAATGCTACTCCCTACTGATTAGGCCACCAGAGTTCCTTATATGTGTATGTGTGTGTATGTATATATGGATATACACACATATATTATATATATTCACATATTAAGTGCCATCAAGTTGACTCTGACTCATAGTGACCTAAGTACAATAGATTAAAACTTTGCCTGATCCTGTATCATCCTCACAATCTCCTGTGCTGAAGTTCACTGTTGCAGTACTGTATCAATATATCTCATTGAAGGTCTTCTTCTCCTTCTCTGACTACTTTTTTATTATTTTTATTTTATTTTATTTTATTTTATTTTATTTTATTATTTTGTGTGTGGGTACCGTCAAATTGAATCTGACTGGTACAGGAGGAGATTGCCCCTCCTTCTTCAGCAAAGCATCTGGTGGATTCGAACTGTGTACCTCTGGGATTGCAGTGCAGCTTCTTGCCACATCTCTGACTACTTTTTCAAGCATGACATCTTTCTGTAGGGAATTACCCCCTTGACAATATGCTGAAAATGTATTAGGCATAATGTCATTACTCTTGTCTCTATTGAGAACCCTGGCTAGATTTCTTTCAAGAGAGATTTGTTTGCTCTTCTGGCAGTCTATGATATATTATGAGCTCTGGTGGCCTAGAGGCAATGAGATGTGCTACCATCTCAAAGCACACAGTTCAAATCCACCAGCTGCCCTGCAGGAGAAAGACTGGCAATCTCCTCCCATGAGATTTACTGCCTTTAAAAACCTGCCTGCTGAAGGGTCAGCTATGAATCGGTTCCAGCTTGATGGTACGACAACGTGGTATATTCAATAGTTGGGCATTCTGAACATTATCTCTATGATTTTTTTTTTCACTTGAAGAAACAAAGTCCAGAGATGGCCAAGAGGCTTGCTCTAGATCATTTGGCTTGGAGGAGATCCTCACTCAGTGTGTCTGCCAATATACTACTTTATTCACTGACTTATTACATAGTTGACTTACATGTTGGAGAACTCCCCTTCCCTGCTCCTACCCTAGATTGTCAGCCTCAGGGACATGAACCACTCAGACTTGTTTTAGATCCCTTACAATGTCAATGTCCAACACAGGGCTGGATACCTTGTATATATCTATATCTATCTATATATCTGTATCTATATGTATATATCTATATATGTATATATCTATATGTATCTATCTATCTATCTATCTATCTATCTATCTATCTATCTATCTATCTATATATATATATATATATATCTCCAATAATATATTGGCCATTGTGGCCAACATGTCTAGGTGGACTAAATGGAGAAGCACTATATGTTGTATATTGTGCTGGCAAAAAAATTTGTTATTATTATGGAAGTCAAGAGGACGTAAGTAGATTGGTCAAAAGGGAAGGTGACACTTGTTATAGGAGAGGCCAGATACTGTCTGGGAATAGAGTTTCAGGGCAAGCCTAGTTTGCTGGGACATAACTCCCCAGGATCCACCTAGAGCAGGAAAGGTGATAATGATACGGAGATCTCATAAACCTATCAGGAAAATTTACAGAGTCATGTACCATGTAATAACACCATGCTAATCGCATGAATATAAGAAATAGCCTTCTCAATGCTATGGAGTTGGAAGATGAACCAGTTTGATGATTCAAAGGTCACACTTTATAAGGATAAACCTGTGACTGGGTGTTTAGAGCACAGAAAGGTCTGATTAGCCACTGAAATAATTAGTCAGGATCAGCTACATGGGTGTGTGGCCTATGCAATCACACAGGACCCACACTTTGAAGTGCTCATACCTGGCTTAATGCTCTGTTGTTTACCGTCTTGGAATTCTTACTGCTTTTTGAACAAGGGACTCCAAAAATTCATTTTTCCTTGTGCTCCACAAATTACATAGTCACGCAATCATCACCATCAAAGCTCATGAATGGAATATAAACAGCTCTTTCCAATTTTCTGTGGGTGATCTTTTACTGAGTGAAGTGGCAAAGGCTGGTATTTTTCCATTGAACAAATTACAGTCAGTCCTGCAATTATCACCATCAAAGTTCATGAATGTAATGTAAACAGCTCTTTACAGGTTTTGGGTGATCATCCAATCACCTGGGTGAAGTGGCAAGGGCAGGTATTTTTCTCCTGAAGAAATAGGAACATAGTCACTCGTTCAAGAACCTAGCAACTAAATGCTAAGTCAAGATCTGAACTCTCAGTCCAGGGATTGTAGTATCACCCTTCACTATTTTTTCATCAAAGGCACCTGTATTTCTTATCCACTCTTCTCCTTGTTTACTCACTTGGTTTACTATTATCCCAGCAGTCTTAGCATTCCTTTAAAATAGCCAGGGTGTGGGGTTAAGCCCTTTCTTTTTGGCAGATGACCTAAGGGTGCTTGGAGTTTGACAAGATATCATCAATTCGTTTTGCGTCTTCTTTTCCCCCACCTTCAGGTCTCCCTCCACACATCCCTACCCCTTCAGAAAGCCTTGTGTATGGAAGGAAAGAGAAGAGGAAGAGCAACATTTATTAAACCTCTATTATGGGTCAAGTAGTGTAGTCAGAACCAGCTGAAAGGAAACATGCTCTGTTTTGGTTTGTATTCTTACTGTGTCAGGCCCTGTGCTACATATTTACACATGCCTTTTGCTTATTTGAGACGTCTCCTTTTTCATCTTGTAGCCTTGCCTTCCAATTCCAAAATTAAAGATTTACAAACGTCAGAGTTGGAAGAAACTTCAGAGGTCATCTACTCCAATCTTTCCTCCCCTCACTTTACAGAGGAAGAGGCTTCAGTCCAGAAAGGGGGAGTGACACGTTCAAGGTCACAGATCTCTTGCCGTGGCAAGTGCGGCTAAGCCTGTGCCTATATGTGCACCTCTACCTGCATGAAGAAAGCCAGGCATGGTTGTACTTAATCAGACATACCACTCTGTGTTGTTGACTGCATCTCCAAAACCTGGCGTGTCCACAATGGTGAGCCGCAGCCTCACTCCCTTCTCTTCTATGTCCACTGCGTGCTTGGTGATCTCCACAGTCTGCATGATCCGCTCTGGAGAAGGGGGAAACTGAGGCTAGGGCAAGAGCAGGGTCCTGCCCAGTCAGGACGAACTGTCCACCCCAGCCAGCTTCACCCAGACTGCCTCGTCCACGCTGCTGTGCTCCCGCCCCCTGGCCACATGCTCTCTGGGAACCAGCAAGGAACACGTTTCCCAACACAGGAAATGCCGGTGGCTGTTGGCTCTGGCCCCAGCCTCTTCTCTGCTCTGGGCTTTTTTTCTTGGATTCCTGGAATCCTTGAGGGGGTCAGAGATTCAGTCAGAGAGCAGGCTTCTGGTCCCTACCCCACTTCAGCACCCACATCTTCAGCGAGCTGGCTGGTGGCCTGCCAGGTTGGATGGGCCTATGGAGAGGTGTCTCCCATCCCTCCAGGCAGCCGTGGTTTCCTTGTATGCTGGCAGTTTTCACTCCCCAGGTTCTAGATTGAGTTTGCTCTCCTAAGACAGATCTGCCTACCTGTCCTCATGCTCCTTTACTGTCCTTACCTTCAGCACTGAGCAGCTTCCGGTCCCGATACAGATCCGTGAGGAAGAGGCTATTGACAAGGGTGGATTTACCCAGGCCAGACTCTCCTGACAGGGGACGGAGAACATAGGCACCAAATCACAAGGTAAGAGTTGTGACCAAGGGGGGCCATCAGTGGATCAAGGTGTGTGGGAGCTGCTTTCTTATCTCATCAGGAAGGTGACTGACCAAATTTTAGAGCTGGTAAGAAGCAATAAGATCAGCTTGTCCAGGCTTTGCATTTGATGCGGCCCAGAGAGGGCAAAGTCACACCAAAAGAAGCAAATACTAGAAAACTGCTGGGGAGGTGCTCTCTTCACCACGTCACATTGCCCCTCACACGCCAATGGCGCCTGGCTACTGTTTTAAAAGGCAGGGTCACTTGCTGCTTGCGCCTTTCCCAAACATTCCCCTCTGCACATGTACCCCTACCACTCCCACCTAAAACACCCCCTTTTTCATCCCCGTGTTGTCCTCTACCTGCCACCATGAGGGTAAAGTCAAAGCCCTTCTTCACAGATTTTCGGTGGACCTGGTTGGGGAGGGTCGCAAATCCCACATACTCCTTGTCATCCTAGTGGACAGGAAGAAGGACTGTATCAGTGGGACAGACTGGAGGGAGGGACCCCAGAACCCAGCACCAGCCCTCTCCTCCCTTCTAGGTCTTTGCCCTCTATTTCAACTCGTTGCCATCCAGTCAAAACTGGCTCATAGCTGACCCTCCATCAGAGCCACTGGAGGATTCGAGCCACTACAGAGGGGCCCCCTTTGGTTAAGCAGCACTTCTCCCTATGAACTGCAACACCCAAGCTCCCTGGATCTTTGCCTTAGTCATTTAGAAACCCTACCAGACTCCTTTGAGGCTCTGTCTGAGACCAACAGCTGAGCCCCTATTCCTGCTGATACTGTCAATTCCTAATGACTTGGGGAAGACATAGAGCTGAGGCTGACACAGAACAGAGCGTACACACACACACACACACACACACACACACCCTCTGTAGTCTTCCTGCACCAGCCCACTGTGCAAAGGCAAAGGAAGGGCTGGAGGCTCTACCTCAGAGGAGTCATAGGGATCCAGTTTGCCCCATGGGCTACGGGGCCGGGCTGAGGGGCTGAGGGGGGGTGGGGCAGAGAAGTACTGGTGACTGTCAGAGGGCTGACTCCAGCTGGGGGGTCTGAATTCCAGGTCTTCATCACAGAAATCTGGAGCCTGAGAACTTGGCTCTGGGATTTGGGAACATGGTTCCGGGATTTGGGGCTTGGGCACCCAGGTCTTGCTCTCCTGTGGGCGGCAGTACTCGCTCCCTGGGTAATCCTTCACGAATTTGGTCAGTTCTGTGTCATCCGTATCCTCCAGGAAGCGCTTGATCTGGGTGATGGGTGAGGGAGGTGGGCAGGTGGGAGGTAGCAGGAAGGCGGAAATAAAGGAGGAAGACAGGAGGAGGAGGAATGAGAGTTTGTGGTTAAAAGGGAAAGAAAATACAGGAGCAGCCAAGCCAGAAGTCCCACTATCCCACCACCCTCACCTGCGCACGGATCTCCCCAACACTAGAGGCCAGACAGAACTGTGAGGTCCCGGAGGAGCCCTGGGCTGTCCAGAGAGCCATGCTGACAGCCTGAGGAGCTGTGCAGCCTCAGTCTTGGGGCTCCTGCTCAGCAAAGTGCTTGCTGAGGCTGCCCTTCCTAGGGGACAGGCTGAGCCAGGGGCCAAGAAGTCAGAGTAAGGGGGAGCAGAGATGGAGGTGTTAGAGCCAGAGGTGGTCGAGGTTTAGGATCCAAGAGACAAAGGACAGAGTGTCATCAGCCAGAAGCCGGCAGAAGGCAAAAAGAGGAAGGAGGGAGTTTGACAGTGTCAGGTAACCCCAGTGCCAGCAGGGGGCTCTGTGCTTCTTGTCACTGTGGGTGATGCGCCTGAGGTGCAGAAACTCCTGGGGGGTGCTCCCTCTATGGGGCTCACTACTCAGAGTTCAGTACTGCTGACTCTAGAATCTCATTCCAAACGCTGAGCCACACCAGGGCCTGAGCCTGGGCCCGGGAGAGGACTGTAACCTGGCAGGGGATGGCAAACACGGGAAGAAGGTAGTCAGAGCTATGAGGGAGAGGCAGAATTGGAAAATATAGGCAATAGAATCACTCAGGGAGGGCTGAGGGTTGGCTGGGCCTCCAAACTGCTGACAGCCCCCAACTATCAGGGACTCTCCAATTTCCCCTAATACCCAGAGCCAAATTCTAGCCAGAGGTTCTGGCTGGGGTCTGGCCTGAACTGGAAGCTACAGGGGTTGGTAGACAGAGAACAGTTAGACACCTCTGTAGAGGCTTGCTCTACCCCATCCCCAGCTTGAGAGAGAGGTCACCCCCAACACCCCAGGCCCAAGTTTTCTACCCTTAAGTTTCTCCTTTGGGGCCAGCCCCCTCTGTGGGGTGCCTGGCAGTGCTGGGCTCAGCTCTGCCTCACAATACCCACGTGCCACTCCCAGACAATGGACAAAGGCTGGCTGCAGAGACTGATTCCCCCTCTGGGGGCTGGCCATGCCTGTGGGGCTACCCTGGACCACTGCAGAGTCTCAGTCCAGGTATGGGGTGGGGAGGCGAGATAAGATGGTTCTGGTCTTTCCACCTACCCTCATTTTACAAAGAGAAAATGTTAAGGAAGTGGACTTGAACACTGCTATGGATTGAGACAGAGAGGCTAGAGGGGAAAGTCCCTGAGAGCTGCTTCTAGGTTGTCCTCTCCTAAGTCCCCACAGCTGCTTGTAGCTACAGTCTTCAGGGATGGACTCAAAACTCACTGCCACAGAGTCAGATCTGACTCTGAGCTGACCATCATCCCGCAGGGTTTTGGAGGCTGGAAATCTCACGGGAGGACACTGCCCATCTTTCTCCCATGGAGCCGCTCGTGGATTCAAACTGCCACAGAGGTGAAGCTTTTACAGCAGCGCAACTTCCTACAGACTGTACCCCCAGAGCGCCCTTCAGGTCTGGACAGAGGGGAGGAAAAGAGGGTCCTGAAACTACAACCAACATGTGGAGGCTTATTGAGGAGAAGCGGAAAGCTAGATTTAACAGGCTTTTCTCATCTGCCATATTTGTGGGCCTCAGGGAGGTGAGCACACACTTTGGTTTATGCTTGCTTTTCTGGCATCATTAATTATGCCCCCTCCCTTTTCACTTTTAAAAGTTTCCTAACCATTAATTATATGACAAAAGACAAGGGATGAGGCTGGGGACAGTAGGTCTTATTGGCTGATGGCTTAAGAGTCTGGGGAATTCCAGAGAGCCCTGCCCCTCTGCACAGCTCCACAGTGAGCCAGCAGTCAGTCGTCCCGGGTCAGGCTCAAGGCAGAAGAGATGGCAGTGCTCAGCCTGGCCTTACCAGGGGCTAGAACGGGAAGAAGCATCGGGGTAAGGGCACAAGTAGGTGCTGCTGGAGACCTCCAGACCGCACACTCTTCTAGCAGAGCCACTAGAAGCCCAGCAGCATCCTATCAACTAGCCCTGGCTTCTCATCCACAAGGAGTAGGACATCCCCAGCTCTACATCAGATTTTGAGCCTCGGTCCCAGCCACCATGGTGAGAAGGCAGGGCCAATCCACCCATCTCCCAGAGAAGCATCTTACCCCAGCTTCAGTCCTCTCCTCAGGGACGGAATTCCCTTGCCATCCCAGCGAATGGTCCATGCCCCACGCTTCAAGCTCCCTGTCAGCAAACTCTAGATCTAATTTTATCTCCCAGGCAAAGTTCCTCACACACAGAAACAGCCCGGTCTTGGTGCTCTTGCTGTAATCTGGCTTCCAATGGTTTGCTCCTTTCCCTTTCTCTTTGACCCCCTGGCTCTGGCAAGGGCCAAAAAAGCCTGTGGAATGTCCTTCCCCACCCTCCCCTCCTACCCTCCCCTGGGCTTCCACCCTCCAAGGACAGCTCAGCTGCAGCAGGATCACTAGGTTTCTCTGCAGTTCCCTCTTTCTCTGATTGGCTGCCCCATGACGCCTGCCCGCTGCCTACCCTGGTGGGCACAGCACCAACCTCCCAAGTCTGCAGCACAGGCTCTTGAGCCACTTGGCCCTCCCTGTTAACACTCAAGGACACTGAGGCCTGTCCCCAAGGTGACCTGGCCTATCAGAGCATGAAGACAGCACTATTCATCAGAGCCAGGAGACTGCACTCCAAAGAACTCCAATCCCTCAATTTCCTCTTTCACCTTAACTTTAAGCAGTGCTTAAACAGAATGGGATGTCCTGCAATCCCCTGGAGCTCCCCCAATCCCGAGGTTAGGGTCTTACAGGAATGGCTCTGCTTTTCTCCCCAGTTATTGGTGTTCTCCCCACAGAAAACTTCTCCCCTACTCAGTGCTTTCAGAAATTTACTCCTGGATTTTCCTTCAAACAGCCTCAGCCACAGAGGGGTCTTTGCCTGGAGGGTACCCTAGGACATCTAACATCTGACTCATGGGGGCCTGGACTCATTCTATCACCCTTATCTCCCATTGAGCCACCTGGAGAGTAGTTTGAAGTTGCTCTCTGAGGGATATAGAAGGCCAATGGGAGATTTCTAGCCTAAAGGCTTCAGAGCTGCAAATGGGACGGGAGACAAAGGGGAGGGGCTGTCTGGGAGTGTGCACACCGAACACTGAATGAAGAACCGAGGGACCCATGTTCTGGTTTGACTGGGAATACCCTTTGTGAGTTCCATTACTATCTGATTTCAGGGTCTGAGGAGCTCTGTTGGCATAGTCCATAGGGAGTTGTGCTGCTAACCCAAAAGTGGTGCCTCTCTAGTGGTTCAAATCCACCAGCAGCTCAAGATAAAGATGGACAGTCTCCTCCTGTGTGATTTAGTCTCAGAAAACTCGCTGGAGGGTCTATTATGAGTCTGTTTGGACTGGAAGGCAATGAGTTTTTGAAGGAACAATTAAGGGAGGTGCTGTGGTGGTGCGCTGGATTAAGCATTGGGCTGCTAACTAAAAGCTGCTTCTTGTGGTGGTGGTGGTGGTGGTCATGGTGGTGATGGTGTACTGTAGCATCGGAACCGACCCGTAGCTGACCCTCCAGTGGGTTTTCAGAGGCAGTTAATTGCATGAGTGATTGCCCATCCTTCTCCACGGGGCAGCTGGGATTGCTTTGGGATTGCAGCAAAGCTTCTTGCCACTAGGCCACCAGAGCTCCAACTAAAAGCTTAGTGATTCAAGTCCACCAGCCACATTGCAGGAAGAAGATGAAGGAGTCTGCTTTATAAAGATTTAGAGGCCTGGAAATCCTATGGGGCAGTTCTGTTCTGTCCCAGTGGGTCACTATTAGTCAGAATTATCTTGATGGGAGTGAGTTTTTTAGTTTTTAATACCTAATTGTGAAGGAGCCCTGTTTGCTCAGTGGTTAAACATTTGGCTGCTAACCAAAAAGTCATAGGTTCGAATCCACTAGCCACTCTGCAGAGCAAATATGTGACAGTCTGCTTCCATAAAAATGTACGGCCTTGGAAACTCTATGGGACAGTACTACTCAGTCCTATAGGGTCATTATGAGTCACAACTCAACAATGAGAATGTCTAATTGTGAACAGTCTTGCCTTAAGGAGTTTGGAGAAAGAAAGCACTTCTAAATGATGGAGCTCTCAAGCTGCTTTGAGTCTGACTAAAAAATGTAGACCTCAGAGAGTAGGTAGTCACAGGTTGGTTATTAATATTGGTCTGAAAGTCTTTTCACATACCAATTAAAACCCTCAGGCAAAAGGAACTTTCCCCACTGCCTTCTTTTGACAAGAGACCCTCTAAAAGAGTCTGGCCTGACATGAACCAACTGGCCTGATTTGAGGGCAAGAGCTTGAGCCTGAGACTTGGTGGGGGGTAGAGAAGGGAGCCTTTATTTAGAGCAGAGCAGGGAGGACTTAGCCAAGCTGTAAGCACCAAGACCTCAGCTGAACAACTGGACTTAGTGTGTGGCAGAAAGAGCCCCTCGAACCACTGCTGGGCTTGGCATTGGGAACAATCAATCCTCCCCTAGGCTTCCATTCCTGGAACAATCAGTCTGTCCATCCTCACTGGGGGAGGAAGAGGGAGGCAGGATAAAGACAGGCACCACTTGGCTTCTCCCAGGAAGCTCCATTTGGGGAAGATCACAGGGTCATCAGGACTTCCTGGCCAAGACTTGGGGCTCTGCCTGGACACAGCTTGAGAGACAAGAGACCAAAAGCCTAGCCTTTCCAAACCTGGAAGCTTCTGGTTTCTCGGGGCCCTGGGACTAGTTACAGTCCTCTCTTATTGTAAATAGATTGTTCCTCCTCTCGCAGGGAGTTTACAAAGTGGGCTTCTTGCAGGCCAGAAGGACAGGCTAGTGTGAGGCCTGGAGGCCCTGTCAAATGGCATGATGTGTTTGTGACAGCTCTGGAAACAGCAGGCGCAGGGCTGGTATCTTCACAGTCAAGCATCAAAACTTCCTACCTGGGGCCTCCAGGGAGACTGGCTGGGGTTACTGTTTATCTTGTCACTACAGGCAGGGAGTGAGAATGACACCACCACCCTCCTCGCCACTCCACGCATTGCAGAGGGACCTGGGGTGGGGGTGGGGGGTGGTAGATGCATCAGAGGAAAGCTTTCCCAAGGATCCTGTTTGGAGGATCCAAGGGATCTAACTGAAATGGGGGTGTGGGGTGGGGGCAGAATAATGACCTGGTCTTCTTTCTCTCTGCCGCTGCCTCTTTTCAGGCTGTGCAAGAAAGGGCCCAAGCGGCTCTCCTGGAAGGGGCCAGCAGTGTTTATGGGCCTTCTCTCTGTGTTTGCCAAAGGAAGTTGGTGCTGGCCTCTGCTCCCAGGGTACGTGGTTAAGTAGGGGTCACCTAGATAACAGCCAGCCCAGGGAAGGGTGGGGACCCTCACCTCCGCTCATCACCAATGCGCCCTCCTTTGCCCAATATGCGCATCTCGGCCAGCAGCGGGCGCCTCCCTCAGCACAGACCCACCCTTTCGTCCAAGAACGCTGGCAGCACCCTGGGGGTCGGGTCGAGGCCCGCTTGGTCACAGCTTGGGCCAAAGGGAGAAACTTGGAAGCGGAGACGCAGCGGCGCCGGCCCGCAGTGCCGGCTCGCGCCCCGGGCAGGCGACAGCACCCTCCGCCCCACGGAGCAGAGGCTGCGGCGCCCACGTCCCCGAGCTTCGCACCGGGGGCGGCAGGCCCTGCGCATCTGGGTCCTGCCCCGCGCCCGTCCGCCTTACCATGGCTGCAGCCCGGACTGGGCCGGCTTCTCCTGGACAGCGCCCGAGCGACCCGCGGCCGGAGCTGCGCGCCGACCGCGTCGCACCGCCGGCCCCCACCCGCCGGAGGCGGGGCCCGGAACCCGGGGGCGGGGCGAGCCGGTCAGGGGCGGTGCCTGCACTCACCGGCGGGCATGAGCGAGTGAGGGAGCGAGCGAGCGAAATGGGGCGGGGGGCAGCCCTGTCGCACCCGGAGACCTCTGCCACCAAGCATCGACAGTCGCTTAGCAGTGAGTGAGGGGCCCGGCTCCAGGTCCTGGGTCTGCACTTGTTGCCTGGTCCTTCCTCACTCAGATCCTGAAGGGTGACTTCCTCAGGCAGCGCACACACTAAGGGGCTTTAACCAGTGGCCATAGAAAAAAGAATGGGGCACCTGACATCTGCAGGCGATACTTTTGGTGATACTAGGGCTGGGGGGTCTCTGCATGAGTTGAAGAAAACACACTAGCTATCCCCAAAGATTCAACGACGTTTGCAGGAAGCAAAGCGGAGTCTTAGTCACTGCAGCTCACCACCCTCCCCAAGGTGGGGACCGCCAGACACGCCCCACCTCCACCCATGCTGTGGAGACAGGTTCCCCAGACGCTACCTTCATGCAGGACCCTAGATTAAAGATTAAAGAGGATTTGCCACATGAATTACCCAGCGGATCATCTGCTGGAAGACCGGAAGGGAAAAGCTGAGTGGCCCTCACAGGTGGCTTGGAGCCTTGCCTGGGGTGGAGGAAAGTGGGGAGAGGCCAGCCCAGGCGCGACTCCAACAAGCAGGTGAGATGCTGTGAGGACAGCTGTCCCAGCAGCTTTAAAGGCATTAGAGACTCAGAGGGGTCAGAGCAGCAGCCAGGGGAGGTAGCTGCCTGGGAGGGGCGGGGGCGGACTTGGTGAGGGATTTCCTGAGCTAAGCTGGTCATGTTCTTGTTTAAGTTTCAAGAAGCCATACCCCTTCCTGGCCCCCAAAAGCCCCAGAGTAGAAGCCTGCTTATCTTATTTAGGCCTGATCTGTTGCCCAATGGTCAAGGCTGGAATCAGGCAGGACTCAACAGAAGCCAAGAGAGGGATCTGGGGACAGGAGGTGGGATTAGGTCTAGAAAAACACCAAGCTCCTAAAGAATTTTTGGCACTGATGGACTCGGAAATGGAAAAGGTTTGTTTTGGTTTTTTTTTCTTAAAGACTTCAGGGACATTCACAAGCTAGCTGACTGAAGAACAATATTACTGCTGGGTGGGCTTGGGCAACTCACCTCACTTGTCTGGTGATGAGAGGATTAGACTAAATGATGCCTTAAAGTCTTTGCAGCTCTGGCACTCTAAAAGCAGGCTCAGTGAATGAAGGAGGGTGTGCTATACGCTTCTATAGGCTTGGAGAAAGAGGGCAAAGCAGCAGCGAGAGAGGCTGGAGAAAAGTTGGTGGTGCAGACACTCAGGGGAAGGGCTTAGATCTGAGAGAAAGATGAGGAGGCAGAGAGTGGGGGCGAGCAGTTTAGCTCTGATGAGAAGGAAGCTCTGAAGGTAAGAGGAGGCTCCAGGAGGCAAATCAGGACACCTGACGCTGTACCCAGGAAAACAAAGAGTTTCCTAAAAGAAGAAAGAAACCAATGGCTTTTGGAAACAGGCAGAAGCAGCAGCAAGTTTGAGCTTCATAAAGCCCCACTGTTAGGAACTAGTTGCTGGCCACTAGTATTCAGGCTGCATTTAGGGGAATCCCTCTGGGATGTTTCCACTCAGTAGTCAGTGCAGGGTTGGAGGAGAAAGTGTACTTCAAAGAAGGCAGATTCATCACAAAGCCTTATTTTCCAACATCATAATACATCTCTTGCCCCCAGGCTCGGCCACAGTCCAGGTATGGACACAGACACATTACAGAAGAAAGTTCGACTAGTTCATCCTCAGCTGTGGCTTGAACCCTACCTCTTCTCTGACACCTGCTGCCCTGAGTGTCTTTTAAAGTGCACTGGAATCAGCTTGCTTTGAAGGAGTCAAGGCCCCAAGTCAGACCTGATTTGTAAGGCTCAGCTCCAAGTCACTCTACTCCCTGAGCCATAGGTCCAATAACGAGACATGCTGGGAGATATAAAAGCTGAAGAGAGACATTCTACCTGAGCAAGTCCTGCAGGCTGGCTTTGCAACATTATGGGGTCTCTGGGAGAACTTGGCCTTGAGCAGAGGTACCCATGCCAGCTTTGGTTATTACCTCACTGCCTCAAAGTCCCTTCCCTTCTCTAGACCTGTGTTTCCTACTCAAAGAGAACAAGACCAGGTTGCCCCAACACCAGCTCATACATCGTGGGTTAGAGAAGGCAGGTACTGATAGGTGCCAGTAGCAGAGCTGAGATGCTGCTGTCCTTGCACGATTTATTGATGGTCACTTAGTGCTCTTCCCCACCTCCAGTTCTCAGGTGAACCTTGTCTCAGTGCCATGCAGCTCTTAGAGCTCTGGCTTTCTCTTGAAATTTGACATCCCACTGGGCATCAATGCCCTTCACTAGAGTACAGTTCTCTGGATGTTTGTGGGGGTGGGGTATCTGAGTGAATATCTGGGGAGGGGATGCTTAGCTTGGCACAGAGTAATTCCTCTGAGGAACTTGACTCAGCAACTGTGACTCCATCTGCTATCCTGGGCTCTCCCTGCTTAGCTCAGGCCAACATGGTCCATGCAGAAGACCATATGGTCCTCTAAACAGGGTCTTTCTTTCCTGCCTAACCACGATTAAAGTTTGCAAGGCACAGCAGTTAAACAAGGAGGCTGCACTTGGGCCAAGTCAAGGTGCAAGTTCAAAGCCAAGAAGAAAGCAATTATCAAAGGAAATCAGGATTTCAGGTCTGCGTAACTAGCAAGAGCCACTTTTGCCTCTCAGGTTCTGAGTTTTCCTTAAGTGATACAAAGACTAATTATAGTCTCAGCCCTATCCCCAGATGTATATGAGTCACTGATGATTTAGTCTGAGTGCCCTGATCACCGGATGTATCTTTCAAGGAAACTTCAGCCAGTCTGTCCAGCAAGGTCTATGTGGAGGCAAGAAACCGAAATACCACTCCTCCATCTGCTCTCCAGTATCCGTGTTCCTGGGGCAGGCATGAGATATGGGTGGCAAAGCCCAGGGCCACTGTGTTTATGAGGTGTTTCCTGGCACCTGCTGAGCAGCTGACTTGAGCAGCAGTTCTGGAACTGGCCAAGTGCTGGAAGCCAGCTGCTGTTCAGCGTTAAGAACTCTTCCAACACTTGCCGTGCAAAAGGGCAGGGATGCAATAGTTCAGGAAGGTACCTGATAATGCAACTACCACCACAAGTCTGAATTCCCTCTACCTTTCTAGTTTCTATCTGAATACATGCCACGGCCAAAATTCAAAGACTCTAGAAAACTGCCCTACAAACTCTGGATAGCTGAGTTACCAGATTCTCACATGATGCTGCACCAAAATCTGTCTCCTTCCAGTTTTCACCCTCAAGTGCCTCCATGCTAACAGCTTTGCTGACTCATTTCACTGGATTGTCTTTTGTTCTGTGATGTCCCTTCCTTTCAAGTGACCCATTTGTGTCCTTTTCTCTCCCAAATTTACCACAAACCCTCAAGGTCAAGGAATGTGCCTTCTGTTTTAACCTCTGCTCACTTCAATATAGCAGACATGTGATGTGATATGTGACTGGGTTTCCAGGCTTTTGCCCCCAGGAGATGTCTGATCAATATGGATTGACTGAAAGGATTTATTGATTAGTTTTCCACTCTGATTTTGGAGGACAGACAAGGCTTGAGGCTTTGGGCTTCATGGACTCATCCTCTGCCCTTCATGCTGGCTGCTAATTCACTCACATTCATCTTCCACTCAGAGAGTCCACAGACAGATCTTGCTCCTGGGAACACCTTTCCCTTCCCAAGTCTTAGTTCTTAAAGAGGCTGCTGAACCAAGAAGCAATTTTCCACGAATATGTGGCTGCAGAAGATACAGTCACATCCCCAAGTCAGGATACTCCCTGAAAAGCTCCCAGCTTTGATGGAGTAAGTTCTGAGACACAGTTTCTTCATCTGTGAAATAGGGAAGAAAAAGGCCATCCCGTAGGGTTGCTATGAAGATTCATTAAGGTGACATACATAGTATGATTATCATTACTAAGTGATTCAATGGTGGCTGTTTCCTCTGATACTGGGAATATTTATCAACACCAAACTGGCAAGAATCCATTGTGACTATTTCAAATGCTTTTCCTCAAAAGGATTAGGAGTATGCATGCGTGCAGGACATAGAAGAATGGGAGGAGAGAGAATTCCAGAGACAAAAGTGACATTAGAATGACTATGCCATCACCACCTGTGGCGTCAGCATTTCCAGCTACACACACCACTCCATCTCTTGAGAGGTCCTGGTTTCAAACCTACTGACCTCAATTCCCAAAACTGCCATGATGTAGACCCCTAGAGCGAGACGACTATGTTTCTGGTGGGCGTGCCAAAGAAAAAAAGACTTTGGCTGGCTCAGTCGTCCGATCCACAGCATCTGAGATTCTCTTAGGCACTGCCTGGCATTCTGTCCCCCTCCCTCCAGGCCTTCATTCAGTCCCCAAGGCGCAGCTGTCCCCTGCTGCTCCCCTCACAGCAGCTGGGTCAAAAGCAGCTGAACAGAGAGAAATGGGACATAACCATTTCTGTTACTCTAGATGGCCTTTCCCTGGTTGACCAGCTGTCAGTGGGGATCCTCAGAAACAGATTTTCTTCTTCACCCAAGTATACATCCTGACCTTTGAAGCCAACTTCCTTAATCTGTCCAGAAAAATTTCTTGTTTCAAAGACTACCGAACTACTCTGGCAGAAAAACATAATGTTGGAGATGGGTACCAGGCAAAGAACCAAGTAGCTACCAAAAATTTACCAGAAAGTCCAAAACGGAATCATCCAGATTCTGCCCTATGCGGGTACAGTCCAAATAGAACAAAAAACCAAGGAGTTCTGGCCTCCACTGTGGTATCAAGACCATGAGAAAGGCAAAGCATTTATAAACAGGATTACCCCACACTGGTCTCGCAGGGCAGCCAGCATATATTTTCAGATGCTATTTGATAAGGAGCAACTTGTCTATGTCACAGCCAGCCTAGAGTGGCCAACTTCTGGGATGCAGAACATTCAGGGTTAAAACTGGGAAAGCCTCAGGCAAACCTGGATGCTCTCTGTAGTCTGGGCCAAAATAGCAAGTCTGGCTCAGGGGTCACCAGCCCCCTTCCTGAGATCTGCTTTCCCAGCCTGTGCTAGACTTAGTTGCCAACAGCAGCTGGAAATTAACAAAGTACCACCAACAAGGAAGATGCCTGGCTCCTAAGAAGCTGTGTGGTGACCGTCAAGCTGTCATCAAAAGCCTCCTGAGGGGACCTGAGTCATTTTTAGCAACTTTACTCTGTTCTTTCAACAAATGCTCTCAAACTACAAGCCTCCATAAGTATGAGAAACAGGAGTCAGAAAGATGGTTTCTCCAGAGTCTTTTCAGATGACCCTTGTTCCAGGATTCTGTTAACACATTCTCCTCTTAAAGGAAAGTCACCTGAGCAAAACTTCCCTGTGGCTCAGGCGCCAACAGGAGGCTTATCTCCTCCCCCATGGGCCAAATGACATGTCACACGAAAGACACTGGCGTCTGCCTCACGGATTGCTGAGGTGGCCGTCTCTAGTTGCTGGCCTGTCTTCCAGAGCTGCTTTCTTGCATAATTGATAGATATAGCAAGGAGTACACCTCCTTGTCCTGACAGCCTGGAAGCCACATATCCAAGGACAATGAGGTCAGGTGTCCTGAGGACACAGATCCTGGGGCCACAACAGATTTATCCATCAGAGGCGCTCCAGCCTCTCTTGTCAGGAGTAGCTTAATTCCCAGCAACTCCCCAGGGTTGTGTGAGAAGACAACCCCTGCTGACCCAATAGGGCACCCTGGGGACCTTCCTGTTGAGCTTCTACTAGTTTTTATTTAAAAAAAAAAAGACTACCCGGAATGCTTCCCTCCAGCTAGACCTCCTCTGGGGAGATTCTAGCCTCTTATGTCCTAATGTAAGGATGAGAAGCATCTGTCCGCCACTCCTTAAACTAAAGGGCTTTTAGGGGCCATTTGGGAGGAGGCTAACACTTAGAGGCTGAATGAGACATGGTCCCAGCTGTGCTTCCTGAAGGGCCTGTGAAGCCCAACAACAAACACACACTGCCTTCCCAGGCGCTGTGGCTGGGCCACCCGAGACCCAAGAATCCCTACCAGGAATCTGGAACAGACTCAATGGTCAAGCATTCCCAAATCAGAGGAACCACAGACAATCAGACATCAGCACTACAGTATCCCTGCCAGGCTGCCTGTGGGCCATGTGGCCCAGAGGCAGGCTGAGGAAGACGCAGTTCTCTCATGGTGCACTTCTAGACCTCCTCACCTGCAGAAAATCCGAAGACTATCTAGCCCAGCTGCCTGAAAACCTGCCCTTCCCAGTTTCTGAGGCGCAGATCTGATGCTGAATGGGGCTGGAGAATTGTAATTATCCAGACAGGATAAGAGTTATTTTGGGAAGGAGCCGTCCTGCTGCCAAGGCTTTTGACTTCCTAAACTAAAACAAGATGCACAAAAAAAGGGGGGTGAGGGTGGGGAAAGGAGGAGGAGCCTGCTCAATCAGAAGCATCACAACCTTAATGAAGGAGAATATTAACTCCTTTCTTCATCCCTAACCTATGAATTTACGTCAAGAGGTGAGCAAGAAGCTAGCAGCCTGGTTTTGTGCAAGAGAGTGTAACTTGACTCCTGCATCTCACTCGCTTCCCTAAGACCCCCAAAGCACTTACTCAGTCTGTCCCATTTATTTTTACATTGGAGCACAGACTATTTCATACTGCTGTTGAGATGCTTCCTGTTCATGTCTTATCTCTCCCAGCCAGATGGGAAGTTTCTCAATGCCAAAGAATGTAGACACTGTGAGACTGCAGCACATCCCCTTACCGTGCCTAGCAGCGTGCTAGTGTTGGAACAAAAACTGCTTGTTGAAGGAAGGAAGGGAAACGGGGGAGGAAGGAAGGGGAAAAGGGAGCGAGGGAGGGGAGAGATCTTTGGTTTTATATGAAGATAAACTCTAAAAGTAGCTGCTTCCACCCACAGCTGAATGCAGGGTGCAGCGCTGGGTATGAAGCCACCATAGAGGGCGGCGGTGGCATTTCTGGACACCTCCTCTTCAGCTGTTTAGTTATCTGAGCTCAGGCTACCCAGCTCCCATTTGTTTTCCATTTGCAGTGCAGCCTTGGCGAGCCCATGGAAAGGCCCCAACTGGAGACCATTTCAAGACTTTGGGCAATGGCACGAGACAGAACAGAGGCAGGAAGGGGGCTTGATTGGCTCATCAAACATGGGCCAAGAAGAATAAATGTACTTATGGGAGCACTGCTGTGTCAAACCAGGACACTCTGCCAAATTCAGGACACGGGGCTGCAGGGAGCAGCGTCCACCTTGTGTCTTTTTAAGTTGTGGAACCAGATAGTGTGTAACCCAGAAAAGCGACCCCTTTCTGAGTGCCCTGGGCTAGAGCAAGAGGGGAGCCAGGTGGAGACCAATCAGCTGCTGGCTGTGAAGACCGCCTCTCTCCAGAGCACTTGGCAGGATTCATGCTCTGCCAATGGGCCTGAACTCTTTTTTTTCCAGGGCTGCCACTAGCTCATATAGTGCCTTTGTGCAAATGGCCCTCTGGGGAGATGCAGCCCCACAGGAGAGTACTTTTAAAGGGATGCATGGTTGGACAAATGGGACACAGGCTAGATTTCAGCTCTCACCTGCTCCCTCCACCAGGTGTCCTTGTGCAGTGAGCAACCAGCCCAACTGTAGGTATCAGCTCTGTCTCCTTTGGCTAAGTGAGGGCACAGGAAAGACCAGAAGTAACATCCCCGGGGCATTCTTACCTCCTCATCTATCATCCGCAGTAGAAGCAAGGCAAACCCAGGAGACAGCGAATGAAATTCAGAAAGTGCAAACAGAAAAGGGAGAAGAGAAATTAACTATAAAGGCCTGTGGATCTGGACATCACCAAATCCCTTCCAAATACAAGTGGCCCCAATAACACCAGCCAGCATTTACTGAGAACTGCCAGGTACCACACCAAGATCCTTCCATGCAACCACTTGGTCAGACCTCACAATGACCCTAAGATGGGCAAACTGAGTTGTGGAGAGATAAAAGAACTTATCCAAGATCGTACAGTCAGAACACAGTAGATTCAGGGCTCAAGCTCAGATAATGTAACATCAGAGCTCAGGCTTTATGAAAATTCTACTTTATAGAGCTTTGCTCCCTTCTAAGGGGCAGGGCTGCCCTTCTCTTTTTCCTGAACAGCATTTTGAGAGCTTGTGCTGGTTGGTGTGGGCCTGCATTTCCAGGCTCTCTTCACCCCAGGAACTTCTTCATGCACAACCCTGGCCTCCCTCCTACTCATAGGGCTGAAGCATATTTTCAGTCACAAAGTTCACAGCAAGAACTCCCTGTGGACAAAAGTTAATAAATGGTATGAGGCCCTCTGCCTACTCCCACCAGAGAGGCCAAGATACAAAGGGAGTGGCAATCACAAGGACCTGAGACACCCCTCCAAAGGATTCCAGGGCTGGCTGCAGGACTCATTAAGGATTTTAAGGAGGAGGGCCAGACACCTTGCTTGGGAAGCAGCCAGCAAATACCCCCAGGTCCTGAGGCTAGAACGGAGTTCTAAGGAACCAGAGATGTATGAGCAGAGGCTTCTGTGTTGATGAGCATGAGGTTTGTCCTTCACTAAGCTGTGAAGCAGGTAGTTTACTCTGGTGGTTTTTTTCATCACTTGGCAGGTAAGGTCAGCGTAGGCCTAACCTGGTCTCCATTCTAGAGGTGGCTTCTCATTCAAAGTAGCCTTTTGGAAATGAAAACTGTTCTAAGTCCCCAGTGAATGACTCGCATGACTCTCTAGGCAAGATGAGAAATTCCTCTATTTTCTCATGTCCAAACCTCAACCAGTACCCTCCCAACAGAACTATAGCTACATAGCCACCCTCCAAACCTTCCTCTTCACCCCAAGTCCCTATAATGGCCCCCAAAAGGAGAAATAAGGACAGACCTTTCAGCCACCAAAGAGCACGACCATATATTCCATCAGAGATATCTGAAAATAGGAGAGATTTATTTTTGTCTGGTGTATTCTGCCACCCCACACCACTTATATCTAACTCCACCCAAAAGTCTCCTTAGTTCTTGATCCTCCAACAAGCAACTCTCTCACACCTTCTCTTTGTGCCTCTTTGCTTCCTAGAAGCCCCTCATCTCTGCCCTACCTCTACTTTGCTGCCAGAAAATCTCCTTGAGGACCTTATTCTCCTTTTAATACCCTTTGCCATCCCTCACATCAGCTCAGTTCTTCATCTCCAGTCTCAGGAAACTGCTTCTGACCCTGCAAAACTTCTCTACTACCTCCTGCTTAGAGAAGTCTAAGATTGATATCAGGTCCAACCTTATCATTGATGCCATTAGCTTAGGGCTCAGAGAAGCTGGCAGAAATTGGGGCAGTGGGCTTTGACACTGCAGGAAGGTAATCCCTAAAGCCCAGAATGAAGAGCCCTCTGCCCACCCCAACAAACCACCTCACTAAACTGGGGCTGCACCTGGGCGGTCTGCGTCTTCACATACCCAAGAAGAAAGCACTAAACCTTTCAATGGGTTGTATGCTGAGGTGTTTGTGGGTCTGTGGCACTTCCCTCCGCTGTGCCCAGTCTGGAGACTCCTCTGCTGGTGGTGCTGGTGGTGGTGGTGGTGGTGGTGGTGGTGGTGGTGGTGGTGATACTGATATGGTCGGTGGTGAAGGACTTGCCTTCTCTCTTCTGTACATCAGATCCTCACAGAAAGAATCTGAGTCCCTTTCAAAAAAGGATAATAAAGAGTCTGGGGCATAAGGGGACTTCAGCTCAAAGACAGGTGTTGTTGGCTGGCTCTGAGGCATTTCAGTTTCAGGATTGAGTAAGGCCCACCACGAGGAGTCAGGATCATACCTAGGTAAGGAGCGAGGAGGTAGAGGCCGAGGGATCAGTTCCAGTTCCACATGGGCAGAGGGCTTTTGGACAGGTCTTGTGGAGGGGCGGGCACTTTCTGGGAATCTTTGAGTGGGCTGGACAGAATATTTGTGGGCATGCTCATGTTCTGGTCGAACTGAATGTAGAGTTTTCTTTGCTGACTCTCTTGTTGAGGAGATGGTGACCCTGCGGCCAGATTCACTCTCTCCCTTGAATGAGGACTTTGTGCCGGATTCCACTGGTGATATCGTTAAGAGCTTTGTAGAGGTCCTGGGTTCAGTACATGTAGAAGACTTGTAGCTATACCTGGGCTCAGTACACACAGGAACTCGGGGCCCACCACCCATATCCCTCACGACAGAAAGCTTGAGGGAGGATTCCAAATTTACATTCCTCTGTGCGGCCTTGGCTTCTGAAAAAACGGAACTGTTAAGACTTGATTCATGTTCTTGGGTGGGGATTCTTTTCTGGACTGTCCGACCTCTGATATATTCTGAGCCAGATAGTCTCTGAGGAGACCGGGCCTCAGCAGTCGGCAAAGGCTTCCGAATGAATTCGGTCTGGACTGCTACATCCTTGGGATAAACTGAGCGCTTCCGTGGAACTCTGACCCCCTGTGGGTTCTGTACCTTGGAGGGTGCTTCTTTCTCTTGTAAGATGTCAAAGTTATCCTTCTTGTCTAGAAAACTCAACCGGCGAGCAGCTTTGGCATCTGTGCTTATCGAGGAGCGAAAGCTGTCTTCAGGTCTGGCAGGACTTACATATCTTCGCGCTGTCTCCTCCTTAGGTGGGCTGATATTCCGATGCAAGGGAGGGCTGGAGGAAATTTGCTGTCTCTTTAGCAGAGGAGTTTGACAGGGGGCTTCTGCTTTACACCGGGTGTCGGTGCCCCGAGGGGATGATGGTCTGGAGGCAGCTGGCCCTGCTTGAGGGGATAAAGGTCGAGGATAATTTGATGTGGTGAGTGGCACAGCGTCTGACTTTCGGTAGGGAGAGCTGGGTGAGGTGGCACCACTTCGATGGCTTGAGGTCACAGAATGTCCATGTCCCCGGTGAGGAGGGGCTGCGTTACTAACCTCAGCTCCTTTATGTGCGGAATCTGCTGCTCTGGACCCAACTTTATGAGTCTTGACCACCGGATAGACTGTACCCCTCTGAGTAGATCCCATATTTCACCAGCTGACTCGTATTCAGGGTCTTAATGAAGTCTTAATATTTACCCTGTTTTTAAAAGGGGCTGTTGTTCTAAGAATGTCTCAAATATTTCCCTTAGCTACTTCTCTGTCTAGTGATGTCATAAAGGAAAGAGCTTCCTATTAAACATCCTACCCACCAGCATTAATACTTCAGAGAATCTCAGGCCCTGACTGAAAGGAGACTGGGTGTTTTTGGAGTTTACACCATCAAGCTCAGAGCCAAGTTCCTAGCAAAAGTGGTTTATGAGAAAGGTCCTGACCCTTTCTTACACTCCTCAGATTCTAGGAATATAAGGAGGACTCAGAAAGAGCATCATACTAAGGCAAGTCTACCCAAACCAATTAAGCTGTCAAGCCCCAGTTTTAATAAAGTACAAGGTATTAAGTTGTCCCAATTATGTCTGACACTCTACCACATGCAAATAAAAAAAAAAAAAAAGAAAATAGAGCTCAAGCCTTTTCCAAGATCTGGTTGCTTTTAGGATAAAAATCCAGGTTGCTCACATCAGAAATTCTTATTTGGGAGAAAGCATAATGTTGTAGAAGGGATTTGGTATTATTGATTTCAATCATAAAGGACTAGCTAGCTGTACACCTCAGACAAGTTATCTGGCTTTGTGGAATCTGAGAAGCAATTCACTGAGTACATGAATGTCACATAAGAAGTATTACTGTTCTTTTCCATGATGTTCTCAGGATGGACTCTGGACCTTTTGAATTTGATGACTATCTTTCAAACTTTGGAGAAGAAAATGACATTGTCACTTTTCTCTCCCTTTTACATACTATTTTTCTTTCAGACATAGTCCCTGCCATATCCAACAAAAAATCCTCACCACTGGGCCAACAGGCAACATCATGATAGAGGAAGAAAAGACTGAAACTGTCAGTGATTTCATCTTGCTTGAACCCACAATCAACACCTTTGGTAACGGCAGTCAAAAGAAATGTTGCATTGGGGAAAATCCGCTGTCCAGGACCTCCCCAAAGTGCTGAAGAGCAGCCACGTCTGTTTAAAGACGAAGGTGTGTCTGATCCAAGCCATGATCTTCTTGATTACTTCCTATGTTTTTTAAAGTTCAACAATGAATAAAGATGACAAGAAAAGAACTTATGCCTTTGGGTTGGGGTACTGGAGTATTGGATATCCCATGGACTGGCAAAAGAGTAAATACATCTTGGGAAAAGCATAACCAAGGTGCTTCTTGGAAACAAAGATGGTGAAACTTTGTCTCATATGTTTGGGGACTGGTATTAGGAGAGACTGACCCTCGGGAAAAGATATCATGCTTGGCAAGGTAGAGTCTCAGCATAAGAGAGGAAGCTCTTCAATGAGAGAGTGACACGCCGAGTGTAATAACAGACTTAAGCATTATCAGAGATGATGAGGATGGCACAAGATAGGACGGGGTTCATTCAGATCTGTTGTTCATAGGGTTGCTATGAGTCATAGTCAACTTGACATCACCAAAGAACAACAACATATCCAACATTTCAGTACTGCCTGCAGGATCATTGAAGTTAAAGGGTGGTCAGACTCACTGTTTCCAAACTCCTTAAATTCAGCTTTGATGTAAAAGTGAAACCAGAAACCACACATGTTGTATTAACAAATACCTCAAGAAATTGATAAGTCTTGAGCCATCTATACAAGTCTTTAGAATATAAAAACATTCAGCCATGGTATCTTGCATTATAAAAATAGGATAAAAGCTGGAAAATATTTACTAATCAGGTATTTTGAAGACATTAAATACAGCCAGATTGAGATTGGCTTATTTGCTAAGCTTTCGTATGAGTTTCTACTTTAAATGTGACAGTTTATTGATGTTGTTGTTGTTGTATAACCCTGAGTTGGAACCAATCTGACCCTCCAGTGAGTTTTCAGAGGCAATTAATCACACAGGAAGAGACTGCCCATCCTTTTCCCATGGAGCAGCTGATGGATTTGAACCACGTGCCTTCTGGATTACAGCACAGTTTCTTACCACTATGCCACCAGTACTCCCTAGTTTATTGATATGTAACTTTTAGTCTAGTATAATCCTTATTTGCTTCCCTGGGAATATTATCTTTCTAATTTGTAGGCTAATGGCTGCTTGAATTTTCATAAACATATCTTAAAACCACTGACTGTGCAGAATCTTCCCCAGCCAGAGAAAAGAGACCTTCTCCAACCCTATGAAATGTAGGACACATTTTGGGACAGTAGTACCAGTCATAGCTGAACTGGAGAACTGACATGAGATGAGACCTTGAGACGGTGAGCAGCCAATACTCGCAGGACTAAGAATTTGGGGATGCTGTGAGGCACAAGGCTGAGGTGACTACATGCACATTTTGGTGCTGTCTTGACTATATTCTGTTATTAATCTGAATTATACCCTTTTGACTTCCCAAACAAAAACCCCACTATGACTTCTCTAATTTTGTTAAAATTAGCATAACGGTTTAATATTTTTTACAATCTCTTGAAGTAATAACGGGTTTTTTATTAGTATCCAGTCTCTCTACTGGTGGCCTAGTGTATAGGGATTTGCACTGCCAACCCAAAGACATGATGCTGAACCTACCAGCTGCTCCTTAGGTGAAAGATGAGCAATCTCCTCCTTTGTGATTTACAGGGTCAGCTATGAGTCAGTTCCAATTCGGGGACACCAAGAGAGATTCAGTAAAAGAAGGAGAAAGGGTAGCTTTAAGCAGTAATGTTTCAAGATGTAACCTAAAAATGCCATATCTAAAAACTTCACCTTGCTTGGATCCACAATTAATACCCTTGATACCAACAGTCAGGAAATCAGGAGATGCGTTGCACTGGATAAATCTGCAGTTAGGCATCTCACCAAATTATTGAGGAGAAATTATGTCAATTTGAAGACTAAGGTGCATCTGATTCAGACCATGGTTTTTCCAGTTACTTGCTCTGTATCTGAGAGCTGGACAATGAATAAGGATGACAGAAGAAGAATTGATTCCTTTGTCCTGTGGTGTGGGAAAAGAGAACTGAATATCCCCGGGCTGCCAAAAGAATCGATATGTCTTAGAGAAAGTGCAGCTGAAGTGGTCTTTGGAGGCATAATGAGGCTTCACCTCCCATACTGTGGGCATGTTGCTAGGAGGGGCTGTTCCTTGGAGAAGGAAATGATGCTGGAAAGGGTGGAGGGTTGTGGAAGGAGAGGAAGACCCCCCACCAGGTGGACTGACACTATGACTGCTGCAATGGGCTCTGTGTGTCAGGAAGTGTGAGGATGGCACAGGATAGAACAAGGTTCAGATCTTTTGTTCATATGGTCACTATAAGTCATACTTGACTCGATGGCACCTAACAACATCTGAATCATTATGGAATCTATGTCTTATGAGAAACAGGCTCAGGAATTAATGTGATGCCAATTAAAATGCTTCAACAAACAGACACAGTCCTTGACATGCTCACCAGCCTATACCAAGTAATTTAAAAGAGCTACCTAGCCAAACAACTGGAAGAGATCCGTATTTGTGCCCACTCTTCTAAAAAAAGTGGTACAGTAGAACCTGGAAATTATCAGTATCATTAATATCCTAAGTAAAATCTTGCTAAAGATTATCTAGAAATTACTGAAACAGAACATCAATAGGAAAGTTCCAGAAATTCAATATGGATTCACAGAGGTTGTGAAATGAGATATCACTGCTGATTTCAGCGGGATCTTGAATAAAAGCTGAGAATTCCATAAAGATATTCATTTGTACAAAGGCATTTGACTGTGTAAATAATAATAAATTATGGACCACTGAGAAAAATAGAAATTCCAGCACACTTCGTTGTGCTCATATGAAACCTGTACATAGACCAAGAAGCAGTTTTCAAAATAGAGCTAGGGGATACTGTGTGGTTTAAAATCAGGAAAGGTGTGTGCTAGAATGCTCCACACTAACAATTTTTTACCACATAATTTTTCTCCAAATAAATGATAATGAAATGGATTAATCATTACGTAACTATAATAGCATCCTAGTCATGACTCTGAATTGTTTTAAGTATTCTTATGAGTCACTGTATCAAAAGGAATTGGCAGACACAGAAGAATTTCATGAAACAACACGAGCAAGAGCCTATGATGATGAGGGAGGAAGTTCAGGCTGCTTTGAAGGAAATGGCAAAAAATAAAGCCCCAGGAATAGATGGTATACCAACTGAGATATTTCAGCTAACATACCTACTCCATACCTATTCAAGCTATATGCTGAGCATATAATTCAAGAAGCTGAACTATATAAAGAAGAGTATGTCTTCAGGATTGGAGGAAGACTCCTAAGACATCCTGTTAAACAGATCACACAGCTATGCTTGCAGAAAGTGAGGAAGCAATGCAATCCCAAAGGTGCACAGTTCAAATCCACCAGATGCTCCGCTGGAGAAGGAGGGGCAAACGCCTCCTGTGCCAGTCAGATCCAATTTGACGGTACACCAAATTAAAAAAAAAAAAAAACCAAACAAAAACATGAGGAAGACTTGAAGCACTTACTGAAGAAGATCAAAGGCTACAGTTTCAATATGGCTTACATCTTAATGTCAAGAAAATAAAAAATCCTCACAATTGGACGCAATCGAAGAAATTCAAAGATCCAAAGAAAAGCTGTTCTGGGCAAAATTGCCATCAAGGACCTCTAGAAAGTGCTAATGAGCAAGGAGGTCATTCTAAAGACTAAGATGCATCTAACTCAAGTCACAATATTTCCAATTGCTTCATATGCATGTGAAAGTTGAACAATGAACAAATGAAATCAAAGAAAGATTAAAATGAATTGTGGTGTCAATTAAGAGTATCAAATGTCCCACCGTGGACTGTCAAAAGGACAAAACACATTTGTTTGGGAGGAAATACTAAGGAGGTCTTCCTTAGAGGCAAGGATATATACATTGGGCATATTGTCAGGAGGCACCAATCTTTGGGAAAAGACATCATGTTTGGAAAAGTACAGTGTTAGCG